TTTCAAGTACGGGAGAGCTCTTTCTGCAATGAAGGTGACAATTTCTGCTTCTTTGTTGTTCGTTGTCATTCGGTTCACTTTCCGGTACTGGAGGTCCATCTCGAAGGCGAACTTCTGGAACGGTTCGTTGTCATTCTGCCGACGTAAAAGTAACTTCTCTAGTGCAGCATGAAGATCAGAATCCGATGCATACATGGTGATGAAATGTTTTTTAAAATCGTCCCATGTACAAGCGAAAAGCTTTGTTCGTTGCCACCATAATGATTGATTGGGGTCTTGATTGAAGACTGCAGGCAGTGATAGGATCCAATCTTTCCGAAGAAAGCGCTTCCGTTCCATATGATTCTCGAGTTCCATGATGAAATTCTCGGCTGAATCAATGTTCGGGTTAAATTTGGGTAGAGGAATATTGCCTACCGAATGAAATAGTACAGGTCCTGAGGATGAAGAACGAGTTTGCATGATTGCATCGGAAGGATCTATTGGGATTTCTTCATCTTTCCGCTCCATGAATCTGGGGCGAGAAATGCACCACGCTGGAATGGCATCTTCTTTGTTCTCATTTGGAGGGTTATTGACTTGTGGTGGAGGGCATGACAAGAATTGTGGTGGTGAAGGGACGCCAAGAAGTTCCACGCATGAAGAGGGGTCATCTTGATTGGGTAGCGTGGGCTTCATCTCCTTGGAAGGAGCTTGAACCCTTGAATTTGCATGGATGAACTCATGGATGATGCTGGACTGAGCTTGAATAGTTTGGTCTTGCTTATCTATGGTAGTTTGCATCCTCGTCAATTGTTCATGAATCCATGTGACCTCGTCTTCAAATAATGACTTCATGGAATCTTGAAAACTTCCCATTTCCTTTTCCACAATAGCATAATTGCTTTTTATGCAAGATTCTAAATGGTTCCTGTATCGTCCTATTTGTTCACCAAGGTGCCTAATCTTCTCATCTACATATTCCTGGAAGGGCAGATTTGACTGTTGAGGGTACGGGTAGTCATAACCAATAAGGCCGGTAAGGATAGAATCAGGAGAGGGAGAATTATGCAAAGCTGCCTGTTGCGATACCAATTGTCCTACTGCTTCGTGCCTATTGTCACAACGAATATCAAACTCTGATAAGAGTTGTTTGACCCTAACTTCTAGGCTATTCACCCGACGCCACAATGCATCGGTTTGCTCACCAAGTTGGGAATTTTGATGATTACTCGTTAGAATGAAAATTTGAGCAATTTCAGAGGTTAACGAATCAAAAATGCGTCTAATTCTTACAAATTGATCATGATTTTTGTTCTGGGCGGCAAAAATGATCTCGATATCCCTATTCAGAACGTTTAACTGGTTACCTACTTTTTTACGACGACGATCCGCATTCACAGATTCAAAACGTGGAATCATCCAACAAGGTAAGTGAGGCAAAATATACTTTGTTACCAGACTGTTCACCAGGACACCGAGCAAGAGGAGAACCGCAGCAATTCCAAACACTTCCATCATGAAGAGAAATCCCCCATACCACCATGATGACGATACGAGGGGCGCTGTTGCCTCTGAGGTCACGTTTCCCTTGAGGTTGGTGAGTCCGGTCATGTCGACGAAACCGAAGAGTTGAGTCAGCATTCCCATGATGTCGGATGTCGTTGCACCATGCAGGAAGTGAAGGAATATGTAATTTAATACGTAAAACACACTTTCCACTGCCAACGACTCGAAACTGTTCACCAACTTCTCCAAACTCACTGTTTATGCCCTTCGCACTTTTTATCGCGAAGGATTTCCAAGTTTACTATTGCACTTTTTGACACTAAGGGTTTCGAAGCACCAATTTGTAACGCTCCCTATTCTATTATGGGATTGCGTGTCCTGATTCACATCCACTTTCGCGGATGCCCCTTTTCTTTGTGACGTTGTGCAAGAAATTTGTAGTAGAAACTCACTTTTTTATAAGAATTATGAATGAATTTATTTACATCAATACCGACTGAAAAATATTGACTTTGCAGAAATGCTCGTATCATAAATACGTGGGAGAGCTAATGCTATATTTATATTTTAACTAATTGTCTAGACGGGAACTTATTATTAAGTTTTCGCAAATCTAAAACCTTGAACTTGATCTTGATGATCACTAAACTTAAACCTGCTGATCCTGAATCTAAAACTACACTTTTTTCTTCTTCTCTCTGCTTACTCTATATATACGTGATCACATAAGCCACGCCTTCTTGATCACTGCCTTTACTTACGCTACATATGCACAAACTACGCCCTCATGATCATGATGATCATGATGACGTAGACATCATTCTGTGCTCCTCATTCCTATCCTCTCTTCCCCTTCATGATCTCCTCCTGCACACAATATGGTTTGGACACACATGAGAGGCGAGATACATATGAAAACTACATCTATGTATTTTAAATCCCTTGACTTTTGAAATGCTGATGTCACATTTGCATCAGCGTTCCAATGGTTGCAGTGCTTTTCAGTTCAAAACCTGCAAACTCAAGAAATAACCACCTAGCATACGTGTGGTATCTTACATCGTATGGTTCCTGATTTCGCCAAAACTATTCTCTATCGACAATCAATCACAAGTTTCATGAAATTTCTTTCCCGTTTAGATGGGGAACGTATCTCGACATCGATCGAGGAAAGGATCGTATCTACTTTTCTCTACGTGACAGAATTCACCGTTATGACGACTTCATTTGCGGTATGCTTTCTACTCATGGTTGAGCCATGTACGCCGCCATTCCTGCTCTCGTTTTCGCCAAGTTGCAACGACATCTCGTGGATGCCACCTAGATGGGAAATCTTCGTTGTCTTCTTCGAAGCATGGATGGCCCTGGTATTGTTAAGCTCTGGAACGGCATGGGTATTTTACGTCGCATTTGCCGGAATTGTCACAATTCTTACATATGTTCAACTTCTAAACAGGTAAAAGTCAGCGTCCTCACGGTAATGGCTAATCATTAAACAAAATTAAAAGATTAAAAGAGTCTGGCAAAATATGTTTTGGTAAAATCTGCACAAACGGAAATTAATGTCAAAAATGTAAAATTCATTCATTGTATGAAAAACGTAACAACTATTTGCTTGATAATACAGGAGGATTGAAAATTCTCGGACAATCTTGGAAAATCTCTCCTGTCTCAAACTGTACCGGAGTATTCAAATTTTGGAAAAATATATGAATGGGTTTCTCATGGTACGAATCGTCCCTACTTTGATGGCATGCACCCCGACGCTTCAAATCATCTGCCTCTACGTTTCCATCAGGCTTCATGCCAAGATCGCAATGCCGGGCTTTCTCATATTTCCCCTAATCTTGGTGGACGCAATGGGCGTGAACGTACTCGTCTATACGCTCGCCTCCTGGATTAATATGAGATCGACTAAACTTCTTCAAACGCATATCAGGCGTACGACCCAATTTGGCGGGAAGAAATCTCAGTTAGCGAGAGAAATCAAGGCGTGTGGCGTACTGAAGATCAAATTTGGATCGAACTTTATCGACAACGGGACCCCGCTGGTAATTCAGGATTTCTGCATGAACCAAACACTGAATCTGCTCATGATCAGCGACGAATAAGTGGTAGGAAATGTTCGAATCAGTAGTCGGTGCCGATCGATTTGCAGCGGAAGTTCCAAGTTCTATAATTTTTTTGAATTATGTCGGTGATAGGGCTGCCAAATCCGTTCCGAATTTTCAAATCTGGATTTAGGATTATCCGGTTACGTCTGGGCCAAATTTTCCAAATCCGGATTTGAAAATTATTTATTGTTATTATCAACTTCCTTGATATTTGAACGAGTTTAACAGATGTCGAATACTTCTTTACCATATTCAATCGAAATTTAGGCTTTTTTGAAATTTCCATCTTGGTTTAAATTTTTTTGACCATGTAGATAGTTTCTTGATATATGTATTTTTAAGCTGATGGACTAAAAAATGTGGAATTTTCAAAAAAGGTGAGTTTGATGTCGAATATCATATTCGACATGTTATTCATCCCAGGTAGTTATTTTACCATATTCGGAATATGGTAAAATAACTAGCTGGGATGAATAAGATGAGCTAACTTTTTTTTTAATTTACACTTTTCCCAACAATTGGTATCTTGCTAATCTTGCAGTGCACATGAAAATTAGTTTTTAAATTAAGGAAATCCGGATTCATTCCAAAATGAAATCCGGATTTCTTATAATTCGAAATCCGAAAAATCCGGATTTTTCGAATTCGAGGTATCCGGATTTAGCAGCCCTAGTAGGTGATAAGAACTTTAATGATTAAATAAGTAATGGATCACTAGTCATGGTTTCCAGGGGGATTAAATTAGTTGGCAAATAATAAACTAAAAATTAATTAAAGAGGTCATACATTTCCGAAGTTACATACAGGGTGGTTTAGATGTCACGCTACAATGGAAACTTTTTCAATGGGAAAACTCTACATTAGTTACAAGATTTTGGATTGAGATTCTTAAAATTTTCATCAAAACTGTTGGAACTTTGATCACAAAATTCTTGGGTGGGGTGGGGGTAGATTTGGGTAGGGGTGGAATTATAAATGCCGCTGAATAATGTCTAAAAAGTCAATGAATGAATCAAATAAAATGCATTGAAAAATCGCCATTTTAGTGATAACAATTTACTTAAATTCAAACCCGGCACGCAATGGAACCTTAAGTGTATGTATACTTGTTCAGTCAAGAACAACATGCAAAAGAATAAAAATGTCCCGGGTTCGAACTCACGATCACCTAAACTACCGAGTAATTTTTATTAAATTTAAACTTCGAAATTTGAACTTTAATTTTCATTCCCAATGAAAATTATCATTAATTTCAATATCATTAATTTTCATTAATTTTTAACTCATATTCGTAAAAAATGCATAATTCTTTGTTCAAATCTGGCCAAAAACTCGCGTTGAGTGTGAGCGTGGCAGCGTGTGCAGTGTTCGACTCAATTTCTGAGTCGATGGTGGTGGTGGCCTGCCATTCGTTCGTCTGCTCCTCGCCCGCCAGTCGAGAAAACGTTCTTCGCCAGAATTGTACTTCTCTCGGTTAAATTTAAAATTAATTTTTCTTGTCCGAGGTTCCAATTGAAGTTTCAGCAGTTTACTATCTGTTATTAATTACTCGGTAAGTTCAAAGGTTGATTAAAAGTATTTTTAATTGTTGTAATCAATAATGTAAGTAGAAATATGAGCTGATTTTGATTGTTTACTATTTTGTATTCATTTACTCGGTAAGTTTGAAGTTTAACTAAATGTATAATTAACTAATTACTGGAATTTAGTAATTAATACGAGTTGATTTTGATGGTTGATTTTGAAGTCTAAAGTACAATTGGGAAATGGTGATAATTTATATTTGATAATTGGATTAATAATTTGACATGATCTATTTTTAACTGTGCATTTACTTAATTGTAAGTAATTATTTGTCTTATTATTAAATAGGTAAAGATGGATTGTGGCAAGTCTGACGAGCAGGGGGTGGCGACAACGTCCTCCAGGAGACGATCGGACAGGAAGAAACGTCCCCAGAACGATGAGAACGACGAAAATAAGCAGGTTGGCGGAGATAAGGCAGCAAAGAAGGCAAAACTTCGACGGGTAAGAATAAGTACATTATAAGATCATATTGTCAATTTTAAATTTTATGTTTTTTGAAACCTGTTCTTCTGGGGACGTTCGTAAACTTCATAATAACGCAAATTTTTCGTTTTTTGGACACTCACCAGTTTAATAGCCACGATGTCGCTGGTCCCTGACCACCCAGCCATCACTTTTTGCAGTACGAAGTTTACGAACGTCCCCTCTCCTTAAAAAACGAAGATTTTATTGTATCTAAAAATCTTCCATTAAAAAGTATCCATTTTTGGTAAAAAAATCGATAATTTTTACCTTTGCAAAGTTGACAGGTTAGAATTTTTATTTTGTTTTTGTTTTCTTCAATGTGGAAATACTTAACTCATGCGCACTACTTTTCACCTATTTTATTTCTATTTTGACATACAAATTTAAAATTCTAACGTCCTAACGTTGGAAATCTAAAAATTATCGATTTTTAGCTGAAATGAAATCCTCATTTTAAAAAAACGCACAGAAATGAACATGTATTCATCGCCATTTAAGACACAAAAATTTCAATTTTCGAAACCCGCATGCAATGAAACCTGAAATAATTGTGGATCCTTTTTCTAGAAGGAAACTTCTGCCAAGTTGACGGGATTTGATCGTGGTCTCGCTCCAGACAGGATCATCGGGGCGACGGATTCGACCGGAGAGTTGAATTTTCTCATGAAATGGAAGGGGACGGATGAAGCGGATCTGGTTCCGGCACGAGTCGCCAACGCCAAGTGTCCCCAGGTCGTGATCGCCTTTTATGAAGGACAACTCTCTTGGCACATGGCGCTGAACGAGTGAAGATGGAAATTTCGGAGAAAAAATTCAGTCTGAACGTTTAAAAATGCACTTAAATCTCTTAAAAATACTCTAAAAACTCTTTAAAATACTCGCTTACAAATCTTTAAAATGTAATGTTTCCCTTTTGAAAATTAATTGCAGTAAATTGTTGTTAAATATTGTTCTGCTAATTGACGTAATTTATTAATTGTCAACTAAATACTTTCATCAGCTCTGACAAAATTATGAGTGCATTTCATCACAATTGTCTTGTTATCCTCAAAAAGTATGGTAAAATAGTTTACGCAGAGAACATCAAGGGTAAAGTTTCTTAAATATTGTAACATTTAATGACGCGATTTTGTAAGACAAAATCTTAAAATGCTTAAAGTGGAGGTTGAGGGGCATTAGCATGGTGAGATTGGAAAAGGACGGGCTTATTAACGTGAGTAAGATATGATTTTAATGAATTTCTAGCGGGACAATGTCCCCTTGTCCCGCTACTTCTGCCGGCACTGGATAGTTACAAAATTTTGTAAGCGTCGTGACTTATTTTACTTCAGGAATGACAAAAATACTAAAAAAAGTACGTGGTATGTTTCCACATTTTATTAACGTAGGAATCCATGACTTATCTAAGGCATGTCCCAGGTTTGGTTAGACAGTTGTATTATATAGTTTGCTGAGCAATTAGTGGATATTGTTGCTTAGCTATCTTAGTTTTTTGAAACGCAATTTCAAGGGCTTCCAGCAGGTGTAACGCATTTTTTATTAAAATGATGAAATTCAATAGAAATCGGGGTCAAAGTGAAAACCTCGCGAATCGAGCTTTTCACAAGTACAAAATTGTCGCTTGACGTGACTTGAAAATAACGTGGTAGTACTTCAACGCGGAAAGGTGTCACAAAACGGTAATCTACCTTTATATTTCGAAGTATGAGGATGCCAAAAAATGCACTTTTTAGATATTTCCAGGCCACCTCTGTTCATAGCCATCTATCGAAACTCGAAAAACGTAAAAACACTTTTCAGCACTACTCCTTCCACGTAAATTCGTGGCGCTACTCGGGTACTGCCAATTTCAAAGTGCTTGTTCCACAACATTGAAGTTCATAAACTGATAAGTACGAAAAAACCTAAATCAAGTTTCCCAAAGTACGTTAATGACTAAAAAAGGAGAGTGCAAAAAAATTATAAAAAAGAGCGTCGATAAATGTCATTAAAAATTATCGATATTTATGATGAAAACTACGGCAAAGTTGATCTATCAGAGATACCGGAATTGAAATTTTTTCACTCCCCCAACTCCACTGATATGGAATATCAACGTGAGTTTAAAGTGAAAACCAAATTCCTTATGAAATTCCTCGTTTGGCTGGGGCCGGACGGTTTTGGCAACATTTCGCCACCTTATATTTGAAAATTTACCAGAAATACAAAAGCTAATAAAAATGAATTTTTGAAAGTGTCACAGCTCTGGATAAGGAAACTTCATAATCTGAACGAAATTTGATTTTGACCGGACCTCGCAACCTTCCATTTCGCTAAAATTTTAACCGCGTACTTTCGGGCGGAACGAGTCGATTTTGTCCTCTAAAAAGACAACGCTTCAAATGCCCGTTAATTGCAACGAATCAAAAACAATTATACCTTTTACGAAACAAGATACTCCAACCTAAAGTCCAATGCGAAAAAGCTGGAAGAATTCAAACGCCAATGGCGAAAAATCAGCCAGTACATTTAGCAAACGAGTGAAAATGACAAATTCGTGGGTTGTTGCGAAAATTCGTATTGGTGGTAAGGAATGGAATAAGAAAAATCCTCAGTGACCAAAACTGGTTGGTATGATTACCACCTACCCTCTACCGAAGACTTTATAAAAATACTTTAACCAGGTCGAACTACACAGGTCATGGATCATTGTCTAACTTTCCCTGGGATACGGTATATCATCAAATTCACAAATTTTATTTATTCCTCAGCTCCGGGAGTTAATTTTAAAATATTGCACGGCAAATTTATAGAGTATTTAGGTCGTTGCCAATTTTTTGTTGAGAAGTATTTATGCACTGTAGATTTTGAAGGAGGAGATCTTAAACTTTCAGAAAAAGTGGAACTCATCGAAACCTGATTCAAAAACTCGACGCTATTCTATCGATCCACTTACTGACGACAAATTTGTCGTTCAGAATTTTAAAATAAATTCCCGGAAATGATTAAAAATTTGCCGATTTTGGTAATGACAATTTGCAACATGATTTTGTATCATCTTATCGTCTAGCTATACTAATTACTTCCAGGGCTAAAAACATCACAGCCACTCCCAATCCTACCAGCATGTAATAAAATACTTCTGACGTTTTCTGAAAATTTAACGCCTTCACTGTTTCAAAATTAATTTCAAATTTTTCTCCATCAAAAAATTGCTCAAATTCGGAATCCCAGACGTTTTTCTCCTTCCGGTAACTCCAATGTCCTTCATGTGTGGACAGCATATGCTTGTAGAGGCCGGTGTTGTCAAGCCATCGTAAATTTTCGAGAAGGACGTTGGCGAAAAATTTGTGTTGTGAGCCAAATCTAAAAATATTGAGTTCTAAGTATACATCATGTATAATACATGTACGAGAATTTGATAAAATTCTGAAAATAGGATGTTAAATTAGAAACATTTCTTACTTGAAGCCTCCCACTTCCAATCCAGCTATCCTGCTGTAGTGGGCATCCCTGTCAAAAAAATTATTCAATCAAAATTCATTCATTTTTAAAATAGGAAAAATCATTTATTCATCACGAATGTATTAAAATTTACAAAAAAATCATTACAAAATAGAAAATAAAAAATTTTTAAATTTTTAGTTTGAAGTAATTATGAATTTTACATCAAATATAAAATTCGATTTACGGCACGAATTTCCCTGGCTATAAATTCATTCATTCTTCGTTAACGTGACGTAAATAAATATTTGTTCAATATTTATCCGTTCAAAAATTTGAAAAACATTCATTCAATATTTATTCATTCGAAAATTTGGCAAATAATTTATTATATATATATTTATTCGAGAATTTTAAAAACATTCATTCCATATTTATTCATTCCAAAATTTGAAAAACATTCATACAATATTTAAAAATTTGAAAAATTTGAAAACAAATCATTCAATCGTCACTCATTCTATATGAATTTATTTCATACTCTTGCTTCCATTCGTCAAAGTTTGCATACAAGTTGACCATTTTCGCCGTCTTGACGTAGTGTTCGATATCTCGGATGTCGTCCAAAATGGCGGTAACTGGTCCAGGCTTCACTTCCACGATGGTTGCGGCTCGTTCAAAGTAATCTGCAGCGTTGGGTGGTTGTTTGGAGTGAAATTGTGCCACGGAATAGGTCAGGTTAAATATGAATCTCGTTTTAGCATGGGCATTGAAACCATCCATGTAAACGAGAGGAGAAAGAACCCTGTTGAATAGGGCTGGATACGTTTTGGTGAATAATTTTGTTCTGTCAGCCGAATCGGTGTGGCGGATTCCTTCGAATAGTTGATTAGTGAGGTAGGTGAACTCTAGACGTGTGAAAAATTACGAGAAATATTATGAAAAATTATGAAAACTAGGTACAAATGAATTTAAGCTTAATTCAGGATTAGTGCTGTTCACGCGCCAAGCTGTACCTGGCTCAGCTCGGAAAGGCTCGCTAAAATTCGAAATCGAGCCGAACTAACTTATTCAGCTGAGCTATTGGCTTAGCTCGTCTAGATATTTAGATCTTAAATTTTAACCAGCCTATTTTACCCGGGCTGGTTGGAGTTCTAGTATGCAAATTAAGTGAGCGACCTAGCCAGAAATTTTAACAGGCCGGGATGAGCTGACTGGTACAGCGCATGATTTTCTTGGCTCGGCTTGTTTCACAAGAAATATATGTAGCTTGCTCGATTAATCGAACATTTCGAAGCCGGATCGGCTCAACTCTCGTGAGAGTTTAGGGTGAACCCTAAACTCTAACCCTAATCGAGCCAAGCTGGCTCCTGCTCGTGAACAGCACTCAATTGCCTTACCAAAATTTCCTGCCCCAAATTGTCCCGTAGCACTGAAGAGAGGAATATCTGTAAATGTTCCGGCCAACAGCTCGTCCAAATCCTTAGGAATGTGAGGTACCGGATGGGTCGAAAACACCGACAGAATCATGGCCGAATACAGGTTCGAAATGACCGAAATCATCAAAGTCCACACGACAAAACCCATCAACAACGATGGGCTTCCACTCGTCTCGCACCTCTTGACGAAAGATGGCACAAACTGAAAAATCAACATGGATCCCACGTTTTGCCACATGCGGAGCCACACCCACACCGACCACGTACCCGTACCTGTTCAAAAAATATTTCATCATTAAGAACTCATTCAACTAAAAAATTATTCACTTTCAAAGTTTGAAAATAAGTCTTCATTCAGTATTCATTATCCATTTTTGATACATACATTTTTTATGTCAAATTTCCCATATTAGACGGCTTTCTCAATACACCTTACACATATGTATGTATCAAGCATAACGTGAAAAATGAGTAGTGAGAAAAATCCTTCATTCATTCTTCATGAATATGAATTAATAAATATTTACAATTCAATTTTCACTCATTCAAAAAATCTTCACCCACAATAAAGCAATTTAGTCAATTATGGGTGAAAAATACATTCATATTTCTTCGGAACGTCCATGTATTACGTGATCAAAAAGATTCATAACTGATTTTGGGTCATCTATCTTTCTTGTGTTAATCTTAACATGAGTAAGATAGGAAAAGAGTGGCATAAAATTCGGGTTTTTAAAATCACGTAATACAGGACGTTCCCTAATAAATGAATTTGAACAGGAACCCACTCACCCACATTTTTCAGCGCTGCGAGAACGAATATCACGAAGGCTACGGTCGCCAAAAAGATTACGAGCCATACAAACAAGTCGAATCTGGTCGAAATTGCGTATGCAACATTGAATCTGGTCGCATTTTTGTGGACCAGGATAAGCAACTGGTATTCGTAGGGTTTCGCACAGTATGGCGTTTGAATGTAGCGCTTCCTCGTGGTCTTATCGATCATGTGGGCCTTCCTGTTGTAGTAAGAGTCGAACGCGTACTCGAACGTGGTCGAGATCTTGAACGGATCTTGACTCCCAACCAACCCCCCGGTG